GCACGCTGCCACCATTTCTTCACCTCGTCGAAGTTATCGCAAGCTGGAGTGGAGGCAGATGATGCCGACCCTTTGTCGCAGATAAATGGCCACGCGCCAGCAATCCATCTTGTAGATGGTGCCGAAGCTTCTTATCCTTCAAAGACGAGGTGATATCCCAGACCTTATTTTGGTGTGGGTCTCATTCGTTCACAAATAGCTCTGCTGTCTACAAGATCAAACGCGTGTCCGATCATTACCATTGCAGTTGTCCCGTATGCCCATCCTTTCCTCTTTGAATGCCACTGTTTTGATTCATACAAAAAGTCCTGGCGCAACCAGGCTCGCAATATCATCGCACGGACCTGCAAACACCTGCTAGATCTCCTGGGCGAGTATTATGAAGCTGCGCGACTGAAATTGAAGGATCCATATGGTCCTCCACCTCTTACTCCCAAGCGGCCAACGAAATCCCGGCGTGCGAGCGCGGTGGCACCCGAGACAGATGGAAAAGACGCCGAAAAATCTCACAGCATATCGCTGCCCCCCCAGCTACTCCTCGCTAAGGTTTGGGATCTTGATGGCCCCGATCCTACTGGGTGGTGGATTTCCGAGAAACTGTACGGCGTTCGGTAGACTTGATTCGCCTTTTCTCCGCGTTGCAGCCCTGACGGCAACAGAAACTTCTACGATGGAATACAACTCCTCAGCCGTCTAGGCAACCCCTTTATGCCTCCAACAGAGTTCATGCAGCGTATGCCGCCTACTGAGCTCTGACTACATTGAGTTGACCTCTTCCGTTCAGAGTTTCCAAAGGATATCACGTTGGATGGCGAGCTCTATGCAGGCCGTGGCAAACTCAATAGTGCGGTGAGCATTGTTAAGTCTTCAAATTGTGGCGATATAGAGTTCGATGTGCGTGCCCTCATTCGTCGGTGCTTGGTCAACACATTCCCAAGTGTTTGATATCCCTTAAATGGAAACTCTGCCGTTCGAGTCTCGCATGGACAAGCTGGAAACGCTGTTCGAACGTCGGGGGAAGTTCGAGTCGAAGCAGATAAAGATAATCGCTCAATAACGGGCCCTCAATAGAGGCGCTTGGCGGTGAGGGATTGATGCGTCGTGCGTGTTCTACTTTGCCATTCATGGCTTTGGAAACAACTTCTCATGCCGATTATAGCCTGTACGCCCGCAAGCGCTCATCCTCCCTTCCCAAGATCAAAATATACATCCCTTATCTCAAACTCAACCTGATCGCTGATGGACCAGACATTTTACGACGCTGAAGCTGAAGTCGTGGGATATGTTCCAGGAAAGGGACGCAATTCCGGTATGGTAGGTTCCTTGAAGTGTTGCATGGAATCCGGGAAGGTCTGCCCGTCCTTGCTTATCCCGTGAACATCGGTCTGACTTTGGTCACTTCAGATATTCAGCGTTGGCAGGTCTCAATGCTGAGGACTCATGCCTCAGGGCTCTCTTCGATTCTCGAACGCTACATGATATACCGGAGCTTGCCTGGGTAACCCAAGACGTTCCTGGAGCAAGATTTATAGCGTCCACGGATGAGCCTTTCCGGGCTATGTTTGCCAATCTCTGTGATGACGGGAATCTGCTCAATCTCGCCATCATTTATACAGACTCTGAACAGGACAATCTGGGTAAATTTTCTCTCAACACAGGTGGCAAGTAGAAATGCTGAGACGGATTACAGAGTGGGCCCATGGGGCGACACAAGATGACGTGGTTCGGGAGTTGAACGGTGTTCATCCCAGTTTCCTTCGCCTTCTGAACCTGCCTTTGCACAGATTGTTGTACCGATGGAAGATATTCGCCTTGCCTGAGCTGCCGACTTGGATCCGCGGACGCACAGCGCTCATCGGCGATGCCCCTCATGCAACCTTTCCATCTCCCGGCCAGGGGGCGGCGATGGCAATAGAAGAAGCCGTTACACTCGGCTGCCTGCTTCCCCTCGGCACGCCGGTGAGCGAGATACCCGCAAGAATGAACGCCTATCAGGCCCCTCTGCAAACCACGGGCCGAGTTTATGAGCAGGGTGTCTGTGCAGCAAATGACAGACCCCGCAAAGCGCGGGGAATATTTCAGATGTGGGTGATTTTTTTGCACCTCGAGTCCGCTTCTTATAATTGTCTCATTAGCACATGAGATTCAGGCTCGTGTAGTAAACTACGATGCGATCGAGGAGTCCCAAAATCTGTTCGAGGGGCGTTTCGAAACAGGTAAAATAGATGCTGAAAATTAAGTTCAACCTTGTTCAATTTGAGGTCTCTTGGACTGGATTCTATTGTGGTTGCGCAAGGACTGCAACCAAAGCTAGTGCTTGCTCCTCCTACCAATCACAAAATTCTGCGGATTTCTAGAGCGCAACTTCTGAACTAAATGGTTCTGGCCCGTCGAAAGTATCATTTGGGGAACAACATAATGCACGACATAAATACAAGGATTAAATTCGATACAGATGCTTTACAATTCTGTGCCTTTTTCAACATCCTTACGACTCTCCTGACCCGTGTAGAGACTTTCGCCATGATCTGTGTCCAAGTTCCCGCTCCCGACGGTCCGAGTCCCTTGCACGGTGTTACCATCGCCACTGCGCACTGCGAATTGCAGTGGCGCGGTCGGCACGGTCGACGAAGGCGGTTCAATAATCTTTCCCATTCCCACCCTTGCCTGGATCAATGTGTTGGTGATCCCCGCGACGGATGGGAAGGCCGCGAAGGCAATGTACTGAGAGTTGGAATTCATTTGGTGGGATACCATATAGAAGAGGGCCCATGAGCTGTAGACAGAGATTCAACGTGGATTAAAAGCTAAACCGGAGGACATACGTGTACACGGCGGCGCTTTCGACGATCATGGCGACGAAGCCCTAGAAAAGCTTGGTTTGCCGATAGCTGGGCAGGTAGCTGAATACACGCACCATCAACCCGGTCCCTTGTGCTGGCTTACATGCCCTCGAAATGGTCCAGATCCTCCCGAAAATGAACCCTGGTGTTGGCTTAGCGTAATTTCTTCCGCGAATGCATGAGAACACGGACCAGTGCAGTAGATATTCGTTCTGTAAGGACGGTAGTAAGAAAGACAGAGAGGATCCATGGCCGAAGACCTACGTGAGGGTGAAGACAAAGCTCGGCGTCATGCTCACGACCAGAGCCAAGTTTGGCTGCCGTCGAATGTTGATTAAAATAAGGACCATGCACACTAGGATACACAACCTGAGCACTCCGAACCAGCCAGGAGGGATGAAATTGCACACCTGTGAGTCCGGCAAGACTTAGCATTGGAAACAAAACTATAGTTTTGCTCCGACTCCAAACTACCCACAGGCGGTATATCTTGATGCCTGTTCAGTTGTTTTCTTTCCCGAAAAAGGAGACGGCAGACAACTTACAATCATAGCATCACTGATTACGATGGAGAGCAACGAAAAAGCGTTCACGGCTACCGATGTGGGATGCGGCTCATCAAAGAAAAATTCCAGAGGTGCGGTGCCCTTCTTAAAGACAACATAGGCGAGGTAGACCCTGGCCGCTATCAACATATAGCTCTGACCAGAATATTTTAGCAAAGTCAAGAGGACGGAGAGTAGCCTCACACTGGTAACCGTGATAAAGAGGATGCATCCAGCGACAAAGATTGCGGACCGACACAGGGGGGTTGTGCGCGCCGCTTTTTTGCGGGCAAACAGCAGGTAAGTAGATGTCAAGAAAAGAGTGAAGTAGATTCCATAGAGGAAACCTCCGACCGTCATTCCGAGCAGATCGAAAGCTGGGATAAGGTCCACGGAGGGGATATCGATGGCAGACATCTTGCGGGATTCGAGTTGGGAGGGATGGGCTGCAGCGCTTTTAACGACGAGTTGGTGGCGTGAGTGATATGTGTGAGACGTAAGATGAATGGCAAGAATAAACAGTCCCCACAATCGTAGAGGTCGGAGGCAGTATCTGGGCGAAGTAATACGAAGCCACGTCAATAATCATGGAAACGCGAAGATGGTTGTTTTCAATTAGTTCCTGCCATGATCGACAGTCTTGAATACAGACACGGATTGTACCCTTGAAATTGCGGTCGTTTCAGAATTCCCTGCCTTTTCCATTTATAACGGCGAGACGCTGGGTGTTCTTCACATCATGATCAGTGTTTTGAATTCATAGCACCTTCAGCCCAACGTTGCAATTCAACCAAGACGAATTGAATCGGCTTCTAGCTGGAAAGAGGTTGGTTGAACGTGAGATGCCGTTGTAAAACTAATGCTCCGTACCAGAGAAAGAGCCTCGACAGGGTTTCAACAAACTTGTGACAGCATGTCTTTCCCCGCAGATAGCGGAAAGATGACCGGCCTGGGGACGGGGTCACAGGATATCGACTACCTTTTGCGGCAAAAAAGGCTCAGGCCAACTCAATTCGAGAGGCACGGTTTAGATTACATCACAAATCTGCCAACAACTAAAAAAAGAAAGCGTATAGCAGTACGGTGGTATCAGCTTCAATTAATCATGTATGTACCTGGAGATCGTGGGGAACACACCCGTGCGTAAATAATGTTTCGTCCTGTTGTTTTCACAGAGAACCAATTTGATGGTGAATCCGAGAATTGATCGGCACGTGATCATGTTGAAAAAACAAGTTCAACATGTTCAGCCCTGTTCCGCCTCTTTCATCGACCCCTTGCATAATCTTCAGGTCGCATCGAGTGAGCACCCTCTGTACAAAGCTTTATTGCGCTGGAGCAAGTAGTCCTGCCCGTTTTCTGGGCAGGTTCGATCTTGTTCGACTAATAGGTGGAAATGGTCGATTTTCCTTCTTTTGTAGCAATTGATGGGTTCTGTCCATTCAAAACCAAGCCCCCGACGATCGTCAGGGATTTATGGATTGGAATTTCATCAAAATTGACCCATTCCAAGCCCCTTTCGGACTTAGTGCATTTTTTTCATTTTTTTCCAGATTCCGTGTTTCTGCCTATTCCTACACCGTCTGGCCATCCAAACGTACCTCTCTTCACCTCCGGATTGGTGTAGGGGTTAACATTGCCGCCTCTCAGCGATTATGTAAGCATCTGCGTACGTAATTGGGTTCGCGGCAGCCCGGGGTTCGATTCCCCGATCCGGAATCATCGTTTTGCTCTGTGCGCATAGTTTCGCATGGCTTTTGTTTCATACTTGTTTTTAGGCATAACTGGTCTAGGAAGCATCGAGTACTGGTATTCTACCTTTTGAAACTCGCTCCCTTAGTTTGTCTAGGCCGTGGTTCTCATTCAAATCAACTTGCTCAAAACTTTCCAATTGTGGACCAACTACGATGACGATGCATCTCCAATCAATTTACCTCCCCTTCTAATCAGATTCAGAAATCCTCCAGGTATCCATAAGCCTCCAGGCTTATGCTATTCCATGCTGTTTTCATGGAGAACGATGGTATTTTCCGCCAACCCAGATTCTGCCAAACAATCTGCAACACAGTTCAAATTGATCGGCTCGGGTTTACTTAATGCTTTTCCCGGACATCATAACGTGGAGTGGATACCACAAGATATACGGCACGATATCGCAGAGTGCCCACTATTCACGAGGATAATTGTCCGAATAGTGATTGCTGCAGAAGTCCCCAGCTTCTTGAGTGATTAATCATATATAGTGGTTGTTTATCCAGGTTGAATAGCTCTTCAACACTAGAGAGCACTCCCTCTGGTATCTATATCAGGAATTGGTATAGTTTCCGCGGGATGGATAGGAACGAGCGCGAAATCGGATCGTGATGCAGGAACGTTATCTGTGTTGAAAATCACAAATGCCGAAGTTGACCCAGACAAACGCACGCTGGAAGTCATGGTTAGAAGCGCTCTTAGATTTGTAAGAGAGAGTGGCCAGACACTCCGCATTGAATGGATCCAACGTGTCATTTAATTTGAATGCATGAGTGCGAGCCAGGAATTAACTTAGAAATGAAGTGAACTTACATGGGATAAAGCCTGCCTCAAGATTGGAGTTGTAAAGTGCGTTAGATGTTCAACTCAAGAAGCTATATGCTGAAGCTCGTGCACTGGAAGAGCCCAGAGGAACTGTGGTATCCGTCTGAAAACTGTTCGGGTCAGTGGCACAGCCATTGTACAGCCATTGGCACAGCCACCGCACAGCCACCTCAATAAGCTGACTTGTTGACCCCTGCACCAATCCGGATACCATCGTTCGGACTTTTTCTTCTTCTACTGAATTGTAGTCATTGAGACGGATATGCGGCAGCGAGCCTTTGCAAAACCTCCACGCAACCTGGGTGATAGGAATCAGAAGGATCTCAAATCATCCCACACTCAGCCCTGAGTCTACTCGGTCGGTCAACGGTCGGTACCGCTTCCTGCCTAACTCTGACTTGCCGCCAGGCCTGTCTCGTTTTCTGTTGCGGCCCACTCAGCCAAACTGGTGTACCTTGGTGCTGCTGCAGATGGATATACCGCCGCAGATGTACTGCGCATGTCGCTCAAGAGCAGCCCGAAAGAGGAAATTCTACAGTATGCGTTCACTTGTGAAACCGATACGTGTGTATCGTTTTCGGTCAAGAAGCATAACATTTACCTATCGTCTAGTACCAATGGTCGCGATTTTGAGGAGAAGATTACCAATCTCATCCCGAATGGCAGCGGATTTGTAAAGACAGTTACTCTCGCATACAACCAGCACCATGCTCTCGTGATTCGCCCCGACGATGTCTGACTCGCCATCCTATGCCAATTCAACTTTTTTGTGAATGCCAATGCAGAGCGGCTCCGTGCGAGCTACGTGGCACACGAGGGCAAAAAGGAGCTTGTCATTTCCGCCGAGGGCAATCGCCACACACTCGACTTTGGTGCCATGTCCCGCAAGATGGTCGGCCTCATCGAGAAGAACGTGGTTGATCCTTCACTCCGCGATTGGGTCATGCCTAATTCTCCACAACCACGGTCAACGATACAACTGTCAGCGCGGTCCTGCTGATGGCAACCCTGAAACAATATTTTTCATACGGCTTCTCAGCTTTTCGCTGCGGGATCCCGCGTGTTACGCTCGAAGGCGACAGGGCGGACTGGGTTGATATCCTCTTGCGGTTGGAGAAGCTCAAGGAGTACGGGATTGAGACCATCGCGTGGTATCATTTGCTGCACCCGGTCATCTCCCGCTTTGTCGCTGCATTCGATGCCTCTGCCAGCGAGGAAAATGTAGATTTCTGGCAGAGGGTCGTTCATCTTAAGCGCGGGGGGAGGGTGCCCCATCGTATTATTTTGGGTGGATCAATGCGTTCAATGTCTTCAGCGCTAGCGGCGAGTGGCTTGGACATCAGTTGAATACGGTGTGTAATATATCGTATCTGAGACAGTGCTCATTCTCTCCCAGTCGACGGAATTTCCCTGAAACACTGTCGGCCGACGACTTCTGGGCTGCGTATGCACCATCTGGACTGGACGCTGGCCTTGTCCTCGACGGCACAAGGTATCACCGTCTTGATACACGCAAGGTACCATCAGGGCGCACCGAGCAGACGTCAAGCTGGACGACAACGGTGAGATTCTCGATTGCGTTATGGTTGCAGGCCTGTTCGGCCTACACGTCTCCTCGAGCCACCACGTTACACTCTCTCCCACCAGTAAGGACGATGTCGTTCAACCCGTCGCCGGATGGTGGATCATATGTGTGTTAAAGGTACCGATGCTAAATGAGGGATGGGCTCGAGCATTTGATGAGGCTTATTTTACTTGTTCATCAACCGTGTATCTTGTGTATCTCCCTTTCATCCCAACACTTTTCTTGGTGTCTGAACATATCTCCACAGTTTCAGCGAAAAAGAATTTTCACTCCCCCGCTACGAAGTTGAGTCTTTCAACGCGCGGTTTCCATATGCATGTTCATTCTCAAAAACTACATTTACAGTGCTGCACATCAATGCTACTTGAGTGGCTAAAGTTTCAACGATGTCCCGATGTGTATGTAGTTGAATATTTCAAAATTACTATAAACTTGCCCTCTGGAAGAAGCCTCCTCGGATGCGCACCCAAATATGGGATGTGGTGCGTTCGTTGACTTACACGGAGCTGTGGCTTATGCTGAGTCATTTTTCTAGCGCACTGAGAGCGTGAGCCAAGGGTGAGCGAAGAAAGTAGGAGACGGTAAACCTCGGATCAATATCCTGGGAATACCGGCTTTGGTCATCGACCGTACATATTAATGTTCTCCCGAGTTATCGGGACGAACAGGGTTTGCGGATCAGCGGATGTCGGAGATCGAATGTTTCTTCTCTTCTCCCCTCATATCGTTTCTCTCTTCCAGCTCAAGAAACCTCTCGGCGGCTTCATTCAGTCAATCTTTCTTGGCTGCCCTCCCACCCTTCACTAACCTGGATCCCAATCGATATGAATTTCAAGAACATGCTCGTAATCTTAAATTCTTAATCTCATCAAGTACCCTTGACTGACAATTTTCTTTCCACTCGGGCCAAACGTGCCCTGGGAACATACATTGGGTGTACTTAGTCAGAGCACCTGATGTACTTACATAGGGCCAATGTTGGGTATCCGCGACAGGTCCCTACATTGTGTCGGAGAGTTGCGGTTCTGCTGTGTGTCTGAGATGCCGCAACTCTCACCCATTCTCGAATATATCTGGGATTCTCGGCCTCACGGCCACCACCCGGTCGGAGACGCAGCGCAATCCGCAAACTCTTTTGTTCCGTACCAACACCTTGCAAAAACGAACAAAGCAGATTTGTCTCTGAAACTACAAGAAGAGTTCACCTTTCTCTTCCCCAGCGTTTCCATGGTCACTTTCAGAGGCGCTGACCCGATGAAGAACAAGGACATGGCCCACATTTAAATAAGCAGGTCGCGTTTGCCACGGCTCATAACAAGCCCATCACCTCATTCCCTCGACCGCATATATGACCTCCTCTCCGAGGCATGCTGTGAGCTCATCGAATCCATTCAAAATATGGCTAAAACTGACTTTACATGCAGGCCCCGGTTCTCGATGAACTGATGGCCCAAGCAATTTCACGGTTACAGGCATCTTCTGCTATGTTCTCATTCACGGCTAGACTGGAGGCTGGGGTATCTCTTCCTTCAATGACCCAGCTTCGGCCCTATGCCCATCGCCTCCTCAAATTAGACATCAAAGCGTCTTCCGCCTGCTTCTCAGATATTTTTGCGCTCCCTCCAGGCTCCTTTCCTGGTCTCGAGGTCTGTTTTCTGCGCCTGAAAGAACCGATAAAAGAGCCAGTTATCACTCATTCCTCCCCGTGTGCACTATTCCGGGATATCGAATCTCTTCGCTCCTTCCATCTGCTGGCATCCCCCACTGGCACGCCACACCCCACCATCGTGGATCCAGCCTGGCTTGCTCTTTCGTGGTCCAATTTGGAGCATCTTGATCTCACTGGTGTCTGGTTAAGCATGCCTGGCCTCCACGCCACCCTTTCCCAGTGCCCCCAACTAGGCCAGTTAAATGCCAGATGCAGCGCCGAGGACGGGAGCGTGGTCGGACCGGGGCTCGTCTCATTGTCGTACCTGCAATCACTAACCCTGCACTGCCCGCCCGCCGACGTGGAGCTCTTTTTCCGCCCTTTGATGCTCCCCACCCTGGAAGATCTCGAAATTGTCTGCGACGAGCGTGTCCAAGTCGGTCGTTTCAGGCTCGCAGAATGGCTCACGGGGACCTGCCTCTCTTCACTCTCCCAGCCGGTTTCTGCTCTCCGCCGTCTCGCCATTTCTTGTGGCGCGTTCTCCACGGATGCGCTCTACAGCTTGCTCAGGTCTGCAGCCAACATCGAAATCCTCATATTCCGAGTCGCCAAATTCGATCGCGGCGTTTTGAAGCGATTGGAATACGGCGATTCCGAGCCTGCGCCGCTCCTTGCAAAACTGGGCACCCTCGTGTTCACGGACTGCTCGATCCAAGCGACGCCGGCGGAAAGTTTAGATCCCTTCCTCTGCGTTGTGGAGTCGCGGGTTTGGACGGACGAGGAGTACGCCGCCGCCTACCCCCGCATCCGGTGTCTCGAGGTGGCACATCTATGTGGAGAGGAGAGCGGAGATTTCACACCCGATATGTGGCGCCGAATTCAAGACTGCAGATACAAAGGCCTTGTTCT